ATCTCATACTACAATAAGCAATGCTCTGTCTGTGCTAATGAAGTTTTTCATCCCGGCATGACAAATTCTCCTGGCAGCTCTAACTGACAATCATCTTCCTACTTCCATTGATAACTGAACGTATTTATCCATCTATAAATCTTTTAGTTACACATTTGAAAAAGGTCATAGAGAGACTACAGTTGGTCCACCTGAGTAAGAAAATGACCTGATATCAGGACCCCCTGCAATTTGCTTACCTCTGTTGAGTCAGTGGAGGATGCCATACACCTACATTAATGAACCCACTTTCCTTAAGACACACTATGAGGACCATGTTCTCAGATTTAACACAATTCAGCCTGACTTACTTTCTCAGAAACCCCAGAAGACTCAAGTGGAGGCATCAACAATTGCCTGGATCAAAGGCTATCTGACATACAGACCATAGTTTGTGACACTGAGGGGTCGACTATCTAATTAAGTAGTCAGCAGAACAAGAGCACCACAGGAGCGCCACAGGGGACAGTAGCCTCACCATTCCTATTTTCTCCGTGCACTCCTGACTTCCAGTAAAAGACAGAGTCCTGTCATCGGCAGAAATACTTTACTGCTTCTTCAGCTATTGGGTGGAATAGAGGTGGACAGGAAACTATGTATGGGGAGCTGGTGAACTGCTTTGTGGCATGGTGTGGAAACAATCATCTGATCCTGAATGTCAACAAAACAATGGGGGTAACTGTAGATCTCAGATCAAACAGGAACAAGTCAAATGCTATTAGCATAATGGGAGAATAAGTGGAGATGGTGGATAAATACCTTGGTTTTCACATGGACAACCAATTTCACTGGGGATGCCACTAGGAAGCATCTAAAAGAGAGGGAAAAGCCGACTGTATTTTCTAAGGTGGCTGAAACATTTAATTTCCATTTGGGATCAATAAAGTTGACTTGCTTTGGATTTATTTGAAATGAATACCACACTAATCCCTTATTGTGCATGCAGTATACAAAAATAAACAGCCAAACATGTGCTTTAGAAATTGTGTTTCATTCATTAATATTTAGACCCTATTTGTAACACTAAGCCGCTAATTGAGGGAAAAAGTATAGCTTCAATTTTTTCCGTCCAGGCTAGATCCCCTATTGCTGTTTATACTGACAATGCTCAGAGATTTTATCACCTTGGAACTCAACTGAAAAACTGCAGGTGTAGGATGCGCGACACAAAAGACATAAAATTCTTTCCAGTTGGTCAAAAGTTGAAACTCTGCATTTAATAGAATGAAAAAAAAAAATCCAAAGTTAACTTATCAGCATATGTAATCATCTTGAGAGTTTCCTGTCATTAAAAAAACTCAAGCACAAGCTCTGCTTTTTTATAATAACTTCAACAAATGCAAAAGAGGCTTTCCCAAAAATTTAATAAAAAAATAATTTTGCTGTTTAATGTATTACCCAAGAGAGTCACTCATACGCTAATGGAATAATAAAGCTGCACAGAGCTTTTTAGAGTGTGATTTATCAGTTTTTTTCCCCCGTTGTTCCTTACCGCAACACAAACCATGTCAGACGTTGAACACAAACTTATCTTAGTCTTAGAATGGCTTAAATCAATACAGCAAACAGACCGCTGTCAACCCAGACTGAATAAAAGATTTCTCCAAGCAGACAGATAATGAAGTCTGCTTTTTTCAGTCACCCTCATATTTCCTGAGTCTTCGTGATTGGCACAATAAACACAAAGAAACGCCTTGAAATTTCCTGGCCTGCTGTTTGGGGAACTATTTAAGCTGGAGTTCAATTGTAAGAGATAATCTGCATTCAGGAAACATCTAACCAGAAAAAAACATCACAATCAAAGGATGCTTTCACACATACCACTTTCAGACCACCTTTTCCCTGACCTGTTTTACAGGTGCTGATACAAGCCAATGAACCCTGGTCTCAATCAAACAACCTAACCAGGACTTACTGTTGGAGGGTGGTCTTGGCCTACTTTCAAAGAACTGTGGTGTAATTAGGATTTGGTGTGAATACAACCCTTGATCTGACCCAGCTACAGAAAACATACGTAATTCAACTTCAGCCAGCACACCAGTGAATATAGTACTGCCTTCTTACCCGATCCACTTTGTGTTGCTCAGGAACCCTGCAACCTGGGGGTTCTAGTACTTAGAGTTCCATTCCAGGAGGTGATTAAATAATCCAAAAAAACAATCTGGAGCATTACAGGCCAATCTTGCAACAGCTAATGTCAGCATGTTTTTATTTTACAGGGAAAAAATGACTTGGCAAAATAGCCTCTTTGGAAGAGTTTAAATTCAAATCTACCCAAGACGCTGCTTGTGATTAGAACCCCTTGCTACTGAACCCAAGAGTGTATGAATTAGAACTTGATTACTCGTGCAAAGGTTCACTGTTTTCTCTTCTTATAGATAATGACTGTTCCTAATCCTGAACTCCCTGAATCATAGAAGTTTCTTTCTAGATTGATTACTCATCCACTCTTGGCTTTTCTCAGGGAGGTGTGTGATTTGTTGCCTATTGAAATCTTTATGCCTAATTCAGGAAGGAGACCAGGGGCCTCAAATAAAAGATGTGCGAGCCACCTCAAGTGACTCCTCTCGTGGCTCTGTTCTGAGCCCCTCACCCTGTTTCTAAGAAAGAGCCCAGGTATCTGCTTGTATTCGGATCTCGTTCTCTGGATCATTATCCAGATTTTCTCACCATAAGTAAGGGTAGGAGCATAGACCGACTGCTAAATTGAGAGCTTTGCCTTATGGCTCATCTTTCCCTGAAGGATTAATCCCAAAGGATAAATAAAGTTTAGTCTAAGTCTATAAGCTCTCTCTTTAACACAGTATACTACTGTAGCCTGAGCATTATAGCAGCAGTTGCACTGATCTGTCTTTTGATTTTCCATTCCATTCTCCCCTCACTAGAGAACGGGACCACTACACACGCAACCCCTCCAATTAAGGCAGGGACTCCTACAACCTGAAGGGGATACGCCACTTGTTTCTGGTTGACTACATTGGCCTCAGACTTGGAGGAGCTGATTCTTATCCTGGTCGCTTCACACTCTACTGCATCCTGTAGATCTTGGCAGGAGGGAGCCAGCAGAACAATATTATCCGCAAAAAGCAGGGTCCCTAAACCAGACCCCCTGCAGCCCTTGGCTGCACCTAGAAATCGTATCCATAAAAGTTATGAAAAGAAGCAGTGAAAGAGGGCAGCCCTGTCGGAGTCCAACAGGCACAAGGAACAGGTCTTAGTGTGGACAATGCTCCTGCTCCACTTTTCCAGAACATTACTACAGTTAATAAAAATATTTAAAAACACTTATCCATTGTCAGACTCTTTAAGTGTTTGGTTTTTTTTTTATTCAACAAGTCTAAGTAACGGGTGTGGCAGGTAAAATTAAGATCAGCTATTCAAGAAATATGGTTATTCATTTAACAGAGTTAAATTTTGATTTAACGAGATGTACTCTTTTTCACTGAATGAAATGAACTAAAAAAAACAAAAACAAATGGAAATTGCAGTATATAATCATTGGTTTTGTTGTGTGGTATGAAAAATCTTCAGTGCAGTAAACAATGAAAGCTGTATAATTACACACGTATTGAAAACAAATATGAAAAATGATCAAGCACAAATAAAAAATGCAACGGACAAATGCTGCAAAGAAACAAGCTGCAAACAGGTGCAAATACGCAGGAAATGTACAGTGAACAGCAACACGAGCCGCAAACACATGTAGGATGCAGACCACAATACATTAAAGACAAATGCAACAGAAAATGCTGCATTTACTAAAAATTATAGCAAAAACCTACAATCAATAAAACAAATGCAACCAAAGAATGCTGCAAAGAAAAACAAATTCCTACAATAATAGAAAGAAAATGATGCAATTGATGAAAACAGCAGCAAATTGGCAACACAAAGTGGAACTACTCAAGACCACTAGAGAGAGTCAAACAAAGAATAAAACTATATCAGACCAGACCTTTTGTACAAACTGGTCAAGCTTTAACACAAGATCTTCTAAAAAGAAAGTTAGAGGAAGAACGGAGAAGTTAGTTATCTTTCATTTCATTTTCAAACACATTGATGGACTTAAGTTATAGAATAATAGCATTGATATATATATATATATATATATATATATATATATATATATATATATATATATATATATATATATACATACTTTTTTTCTGTGATTGCAACATGGATTTGTTTTGTTGATCATTGGTATTTTCCTCGACTTACCGTAAGTGAATGCTGCATTATTTTGTTTGCAGCGTTTTTCTGATGCATATGTTTATTTTTTGCCTCCGTTTTTTGGAGCCCATTTTATTGTTGGCTGTGCGTTGGCACCTGTCGGCCATCATAAAAATCTGTATCATGATCCACAACTAGGAATTGGACATGGTATCTAAAATAATACATATATATTCTCAAAGCATTCTTAATGTCATGTTACGGATTGATACACAGTGACATTTGAAGTGTATCTTTATTTACAAAGTGATGAAATACACTGCCTCAGTCTAACATTTTAGAAGTAATGACAAAGCGGTCACACTGAGCACTCATATGCAGCTATAGACAGAATAATTTACATAGTAGAAAATATCAGTCAGTCAAAAAATAAAACAGCAGTACTTATGTTTTGAAAAAGAAATGTACAGTATTTTTAAAGAATTGAGGTAGAGAAAGCCACACACTGTTCAATGGTGATATTTGACAAGGGTTTATACTGTACAGGTCACAGCAGAGTTTAAAATGGGAGCTGAGTCAGCAGGGAAATGACCGCATCCTGACTTCAAAACAAGAATGGAAACATTGTTGACAACCAGTGAAAAACAAGAGTCTCAGGAACAGAGCAATTGTTCAAGTGAAAAGGTCAGGAGCTACTGTGGAATGAGACCGATCAAGGTAAAGTGACCAGAGTAGGAACCCCCCACCCCTCGTACTAAGCTCTTGACACATACAGTAATGAAGGAGTTGAAGCGTGTAGTTTTATGTTTGGCTAAACCATTAAAACAGTTTTTGAAGATGGCTATTTTCCAAATATAGGTTTTGGTTGATGAGGACAATGAAATGTGAGAAAAAAAGTTTCACATAGATATTTTACAGAAATCCATTTGTGTGTTTAAGAGTAATGAACTCTTCCATTATAAGAACAGAAAATGTCTCTTTATGGTGGATTTTATAACACCCATGTAGAAAAGAGAATGACTCAAAGACACTGTGCCACAAAACAAAAACTCTTCCCTCTAAAACACCACTTTATTTTATGTACAGAAATCTTTTTAATTGATTTTTGTTCTAGCTGAAAGCCCCAGGGTAATTGTTTTTGTTTACATGTCATTTCTTTTTGTTGCTGTAATATCACACCATAAATCAGGAGCTAGGATGTAATTGTGGCATGTGCACAAAAGCAGCTTCAGTATAAGTGGCCCATCAAGGAGGCACAATGCTGTTGTTTTTTTCTTTAAATAGAATGACTGAATCATCTGCAAACTGAAGTAATCCTGCTGTCTCCATGGCTTCATAGAGGGGCTTAAGAACAACCAAGAAAGAGTTTCCATCATTAGTCTGTGCCTTATCTACAGGTCTGCTGTGTGCGCAGACAATAAACACATTTTAAAAACAGAAACACCTTCTGCCACATTTTATGCTGGTTATTCATCCAGGTTTACACCTTAAGAGCCTCGTGCACCCCCACAGCAGACAGCCGGCGGTTGATATTGCGATAGCGGCAGCGGAGGAGGTCACGGTAGGTGGAGCGCAGGTCTCGGTTGAAGAAGGCGTAGATAAAGGGGTTCATCAGCGAGTTGGCATACCCCAACCAGAGCAGAGTGCGTTCCAGCCAGATGGGCACACAGCTGCACTCCACCCCACAAATAAATGGCCTGGCAGTGGTCAGGATGAAGAATGGCAGCCAGCACACAGCAAAGACACCCACGATCACCCCGAGTGTAGTGGCTGCTTTCTGCTCCCGTTTGAAGATGGAGATGTTTTTCCGCTCGCGGTTCAGCAGGCGAGACAAGGCGGCGCACTCCTCCGCCACGCCGGGTGGCTTAAGGCCCTGCATGCGGAGTGCCTCGTTAGCGACCGTTTCAAGGCGTTCGCGCCTTGACAAGTCTGTGAAGCGGTGCTTGGCTCCGCTCTTCCGAGCTGCTCTGAAAATCTTGTAATACATGAAGAGCATTACCAGCATAGGGATGTAAAAGGCTACTGCTGTAGAGTAGATGGTGTAACCAAAGTCTTGGCTAATGAGGCACACGCCAGCCGTGTGGACGTTTTTGGCCCATCCACAGAAAGGTGGCAGGGTGATGGATGCTGACACCAGCCACACTCCCAGGATCATCTTAGCCATCAGCTGACCATTCTGACGTGCTGGGTAGGTGAGAGGCCGTGTGATCCCAAGATATCTGCATTAAAGGAAGCAGAGAGACATCAAGATAATTTTAATAAATTTATTTGGGAGCATTAATACTGCTTGACCGAGTCTAAAACCATGCGTTAGACTTATCTTACCCTGCATTTCAAAAGTATTCAGAGCACTTAAACCTTTGGAATTCTAACACAATGCAACCAAATAAGTAAATGCATTTTACTGATGTGTGATACTGTGGTGTGAATATATATATTTATTCTCCTACAGTACCTTGATACTCACAAGACACGTGTGTATTTTAATCTCAGTATAAATCTTGCTGCTCTGCAAAGGCCTCAGGGAATTGCTACATCTGTGAGCTAAACAGTATTACAGCCCAAGAAAGAAAGCAGACAGTTTAGGGATAAAGTGAGGAAGTATAAGGCAACTTTTGGTCCCCACACACAAAAAAATGTATATGGTTACCAAGTCATTCTACACATCAGCATGAACACACAGGGATGAGGACTAAAGTCACACTTGTCCCATGTATAGTAATTTAAAAATCAACTTTGACCTACTTTCAAAACATGCTTTTTTTTTACCTGTCTGTCTGAGCCCCACACAGAAGAGGGGATAAAATCTAGTAGTGCTGAAGTAACATTAAGCCGGGCATACACTGTGCCATATTTTTAATCGTTGCAAGCAGCTACAGATCAAATTGCATGATGAAACTGCAGGGTTTAAATGTTCACAGCTCACGATGTCTATTCTGTGCGGCCCAAAACTCTGACGTAATCTACTTGCTCACATTGTACATCTAAGAAACTTAGGTAGAAAAACTTCACAACTCAACAACTTTAGAAAAATGGATTTAGACCTTTTTACTTTAGAAAAAAATAGCAAGTATTACAGATTAAAATAAAATAATGTTGTAACCATAGAAATACATTAAATACTTAAAAATAGTACCTAAAATAAATGCTGATGATTTGTATGGAAATATTGTATGTGACATTTTTCATTTCCTAGTTGAAGATAAGGATTATTCCTTAGATATTAAAATGTAGTTTTTTTTACAGCAAAAGTTCCATGACAGAACATTACAACTTTAAAATGAATTTAATCTTAACACTTGCAAAAATGCTTGCAGAAAATAATTGTGAATATTTGTGGAACACACTAAACGCATAGTGACCTGGCCTGATGGGAGGAAGGTTAGGGTAATATAGAAATTAAACGTGTGACATATAGAAGAATTGAGATTTGGCCGGAAGTTTAGTCCAGCACAATGACCCTAATCATACTGCAAGAGCTACAGTTGAATAGAATTAGTTCAAAGCATGTTCTTGTGTTTAAATGGTCCAGTTAAAGTCGAGACAGAAATCCAATAGAAATGATGTAGCAAGGCTTTTAATTTGTTACTGGCAGACGCTCAGCATTTTTCTTGGCAGAAGCGGAGCTATTTGTAGGAAAAAAAATCCCAAAACTGTATAAGCAGTATATATATATATTTGTATATATCAAAGGGATGGAACACATTTGCACAGCTCTTAATACTGAAGAGACCACTGGACAGGTGAGGTTTTTTATTAGATGGTGCCATTAAATGCATTTCTTTAAGAGGTCATAACCGCTGTTAGAGCCTGGAGACTTAACCCTTCTTTACTGTGGCACCTGGAGCTTAGCAGCATGAAAAAGAGCTATCAATCAGATAGGCAGCACATTGGATTCAAATAGCAGCTGAGGGGTGTCAGAGGAATAAAAATAGGTGTGAAAACCTTGGATAAGTGAAGAACAGAGAAAATAGCCACTATTCTCCGAAAATGAAGAAATGTGTGTCTACTTCACACCATATTTTGGCTCAATTCAATTCATCTCGAGCACCGAATGTGTCATTGATAAAACCTTGTACATCTGAGGCTTTAAGCTATCTCCTTGGTTTCTTTACTCGATTGTTAATCAAAAGATAAAGAGAGGATTTAGAGAACAGGAGGCAATTCTCCCTGTCGTACAGCAGTGATGTTATCAGTGTGAGAATCAAACTCAGCTCAGTCAGCTTAGGAGGGATTCATGCTCTCGTGGAGAAGCTTTCAGATGCTGACTTTCCCCTCATGCACACTTGGCTCCAGTCGGCTCCAGCAGAGGCTGAAACTTGTCACTCATGCAAGCCAGTGAAATCTGCAAGACAGACATTCCCACTTGGCTGTCAAGCAGCAGTCCTAACGCTGCATTTTTCTAAACTTTATGGAGCATTCAGCATCCCAGCATTATGGTGATGCTTTCTAAGCTGCTAACAGTGCAAATGGCAAGGACCTTCATTGCAATGATTTAGTGTGGACAATACAAGGCTGACATGCAGTTAAGGTGAAAACATTTGGTTCTTAACACAGATGCAAGCAGCTTAGACCTCACTCACTTGAACATCTGACAAACATCTGAATTTTTTTAACCCATTATTTAGAAAAAAGCTGTGCATAGCTGTTTTCTAGTCTCTCACTTCCTTTCTGGGTCACATGCATTTATAATTTGAAGGACATCTGCCTCGCATGCATTTCATATCAAAATACATCAGCATTGTCATGACAACAAGTGAGACATCCATCACCCTATGAGTAAAGAAGAACTGAAGAGACCTGGACAGAAGAAAACTTGACACATTGCACTGCAGTTGCTCTTTGCATTGCTGCAGCTTGGATGTTTCCCTGGATGTTATATGAATTACAAATAGATCTTGTGTCATATACAGGCAGACTCAGATTTCAGTTTAATCTCATACCATTTATTCACACCTCTTAAAGATCCCTTGGCTCAGGTTAGCTGTGAAAAATGGATCCTATAAACTGATTCAGCTTACAGCGCCTTGAACCACGGGTCTGACCAGTTTACTACACGGAATTAAAATTAAACTATGCAACAGGGAATGAAAGCAGTCAGATGGGCAATATCGAACAGATACAAGACAAATGTAGGGATTGGCTCTCATCAAGCTGAGGGGATGCTTAGATATACATAATGGATTGGCAAAAAACCCTCTGGCTGCATTATTGAATGATGAGACAGCTGTCTGCGGAGGTAACTATGTGTCTGGAGCTGCAGAGGGCAGACATCCACAACTATGACTCATTTTCTAATTCCATTTCAGAAATGTTATCAGTCTTATTAGAAAAAAATACATTTATTTATTTGCCAGCTCTTGCTTCACAAACATAATCTCCATGAGTCAGGCATAACATTATGAATGCCTACCTAATAATTGGTTACACCTTTTGTCACTTAAACATCAGGATTGGCATTGTAGTTTCTTGCAGTAAAATCCTAGCAGTAGATACTTTAATTATTGTCAGAAGTGAGGTAGAGTCTCCTAATATTGGACATATTGTTTGAGTATATCCCACAGGTATATCCACAATCAATGGATGCCAGTAAAATCTGGGAACCACGTCTCTTCCTGCTCTGCTTTTCCTGAATCATGTTTTCTGTGCTTGTGCAAATTCTCAGACATTTGGGTCATGTCAACCACAAACAAAAACTTTTTGTTATAAGAACTCCGAGTTAGCGGTTTAACAATATTTTCCTCATTTGCAGAGGAGAAAGGAAAAGAATGCAAACATGTCAGGAAATCACTTGAGGCATGTGGTTATTCAAACTGGATACTTGTTAACTTGGCCAACAGAACAAAATCAAATCATTGTATTTCCATATGTGTAAGCAGTTTCTGAGAAACTTGGGAGGATTTTCTTTAAACATAGCGTAGCACTGAAATTCAAACCCAGCAACACACTCAGACAAAAACTGGTTCATGCCAAAGACAAACCACTTGCCATTTGTTTATGCAATCTAGAGCAACTCGTATATTGGAGAAACAAACAACTATACTGTACATATGCACGGAGCGGCACAGGAGAGTCTGCAGCCTAGGATGAGATTATGTTGTGTAGTTGCACCTCAAAACCAAGGGTATCACCTTTGACAACGACAAAGTTAAGATTTTTTGACAGAGAGGACAGATGGCTTGAAAGAGGGGTAAATAAAGCCATCTTTGTTAAAACAGAACAGAGAAGGAGGATTGTGGTTTCACCTTCCCAACATTTATAAACCATTGCACAAGCATACTCATAAGTAAATTGGCAGAACAAAAGACTTTTCTCATATCCTCAGTGGAGTTTCGAGATAAAATCTACTCTTGAAATGTGTCTTTGCGCTCCTGTCATTTATCCAGAAGTTCTGCAATCGCACTTTTTCTCTCACTCCCAACTTGGAGGTTGGCTTAATATTTAGCACGCCTTACCTGGAACTGCCTTTACAAATTACTCTTTTTGTTATTTGACATCTTTCCTTGGATCCATGGCCTGGGACACACCCGCCGTTTTTTTTAAAACCGCCACCTGTCAGCCAACGCGTCATGCTGAAAAATGTTTTGCAGGCTATGCAAAAATCTTCATTGAAAGAAATATTTACATTTATTGTTTGAATTTATGTATGACACAAATTTGTACAGCATTTGGGAAGCACAATGAATGTATATTAGACCTCCTGCACATCAAAACAAACAATCAACCAAAAAAAAATCTATATTCTTCCATTTTAAAACATTTTTGATAAAGCTTCAGGGAGCCGCAAAGGGGGCATTAAATAGAAGCGGGTTGCTGAACGCTGCTCTATAGTGCAAACCTACAGAACTGAAGACTCTTGGATAGGTGTTAAAAAGTCTTCAGAAAAACTGAGCTGGTTACCTCCAATTCAAGTTTGTTTTTTGATATTTGTCCTTTATCGCGTAACACAAAAAATAGCTAGAATATGCCACAGAAACCAGGGATGACTAGTTTATGTTAAATGGTATACTCTCTACAACAATGGTAAGGTTCGTGTTAGCTGAAAAGGTAACATCCACAAAGATGGCAGATGACCCAGAAATTTACCAGCAGAACATCAGCCAAAGCATCAGCCCTTTCATCAGACCACTATGCAGCCCCCACCGATAGGGAACTGTAATCTCTGAAACCTGTCTCTTAGAACAAGAAGTAAATTCTTCACAACAACTGCATCAGAAAA